TAGTACACCAAACCCCATTTTTAATTTATTGTCATTTTACAAGTATTTTTACAAAGAGATTTTTCATAGAGTTGTTAAATTGAACCAATCTCCGTGGATTCGATCCCTTTACCACTATACACTACTTTAGTGTAAAAGATTTAGGGTTATTAATTTTGTTGGCTCGACAACCACCAATGCTCTTATGGCATTTGTTTCGAGTTTGGTCTAAAGTTGATGTGAAATGTCCATTTTGACATTTTTAACTTTGATTATTATTTGATTAATATTATATTATTGTTAATTAAGTGAGGCCCTCCACACTAGGGATTAAAGTGGGTCCAAACCCGACTCGGATAGACTTGGACTTGGAAAACCCGGGAACCGGTTAACAAAATTTTATAGGTTCCAGTTTGGTTTGGGTAAGGTACCGGGTAAAGTGGGTCTAGAACCGGAAAACCCGGAATCGTCAAAGTGGGTCAAGTGGGACCGGGTAAAGTGGGTCTAGAGCCGGAAAAACCAGAATTTTTTGGTAATTACTTAGTGGGTTGAACTTTGAAAATTTTCGATTTTGATATTCCGACTTTAGAGGACTATAATTCATTGAATATGAAACCAAAAATAACAAAATTATAATCTAAAATCAGGTACAAACTCTAAAATAGTTGTTGGAAAAAAACCGCATGCTAATCGTACTTCAAACGAGTTAGATATATATGCTCTAAAAATTTCAAAGAATACAAAAAAAAAAAAAAACAGAAAAACAGAAAATCTCCAACATTGACATCCCAACTTTGGAAGACTGTAAGTCAATGAATGTGAAACCAAAAATGACAAAATAATACTTTAAATCATGTACAAACTCTAAAAGACATGTTGGAAAAATCTATATGCTAGTCTGACTTCAAACGAATTCAATATGTATGTTTTAATACTTCCAAAAAAAAAACGCTGAATAACAGAAAATTTCTAGCTTTCATATCCCGAATTTAGGGGACTATAAGTCAATGAATATTAAACCAAAAATGAAAATTTATACTTTAAAATCATCTAAAAACTATAAAATACACGCTAGAAAAAACCTCATGCCAATCCAACTTCAAACGAATGAGATATGCATGTTCTAAACTTTTCACAGAAATCGGTTCCAACCCCTAAAACCAGTTCCGGTTCTTAAACATGGTTTACTCGGACCCAAGACCATGTTACTCGGAACCCAGATAAAGACATTCTTTAAACCCAAAACCCATAGCGGTTCTACATATTTCGATTCTAACGGTTCCGGTCTCGATTTCTGTTTTTAAATCTCATCCCTACTCCATACCGCCTTATATCTCTTTGTTTCTTACGGCAAGGCATTAGCCTTCCCAACTTCTCCGTTTTCTTGGACAAGAGACCCCCTCCTCTTTTCTTCACACATCTACCACCATCATTGACTAAGGAAACAATTTTGTGGGGATTGTTGGGGGATATAAACAAGTTACCAAATGTGGTCGGTTGTTTGTATGAGAAGACTTCGATTTAATTTGAAGTTATGATTAACTGTATTAATTAAACATAAAGGTAGAGTGAAACAATTTAACCTACTCATTCCATTCAAATAAATATGTGGGGATTGTTGGGGGATATAAACAAGTTACCAAATGTGGTCGGTTGTTTGTATGAGAAGACTTCGATTTAGTTCGAAGTTATGATTAATTGTATTAGTTAAACATAAAGGTAGAGTGAAACTATTTAACCTACTCATTCCATTCAAATGAATATGTAACATTCCAAAAACCATGATATATTTTTTCATTTTTTACAAAAATCATTTCTGAATAACCATAAATAAACAACCAGTGTTTTCAAATCATATCCCAGAAAATCAAGTATCAAATCAATTTCTCAAGACATAAAACATTAGAGGATGTGTACAATCACACCTTCGGCTTGCCCCGATCATCAGAAGTACCTGAAAGCAATGAAATCAACAACTGTAAGCCAAAGCTTAGCGAGTTCCCCTAAATACCCCACACAACAATACATATGCAAGCATGCACACTAGGTCCACAATCATCGGACAGGATTACCCTCGGGTCCACAGTCATTGGACTGGATTTCCCTCGACCCACAGTCATTGGACTGGATTGCCCCTGACCGACAGTTATCGGACTGGATTGCCCCGTGTTTGTTGGCTTACATCAAAGAGCAGTAAAGCCTCAATCCAACTGCACTATGTCGACATATGCAACAGATAAACAATAACCAACAAGTAGAACTAATCATACAGATCTACCAATCTAACATATCACTACAACAAAACAACATCCTATATACAAGGATACATAATACAATCTAGTTGATCGGTTTTGGTTCCTTCGACCCATGAGTATAATGAGGAAAACTCACCTTGCAGTCTAGAAGATAGCAGTAATGATCACTGATTTGATAACCACCTCTACAGGTCACCTACGCAACAAATAGGGACCAAGTCTCAATCTACAACTCAAAATACTCAATTTGACGTAAAGTCAAACTTGGTCAAAGTCAACGGTCAACTGTCAAAAAGTCAATGGTCAACTCCAGTCAACCTACACCCTGTATAACATATAGTTCTATGCACAACGTAGAGCTCAAGGCGGTAAGACGAGAAAAATTAGGATTACTCTCCACACAAGGTAGATTATGCTCAACGTAGCTCCTTGATGACTTATCTTAATCATTAAGTCCTTAAAACAGGAAATCAGCTCCTTATACTTTCAGATCTACACCAAATGGATGTCTTAATAGATAAGCTCTCCGAATTTATCCATTTGCATGGTCACAAAGAGCGCACACTCAAAACCTAGGTCTATAAAGTTATATATGATGGGTTTTATACAAACAATCCTATGTGTGCATGCAACCCTAGATTTGGATCTATGTTTTCACTATTAGATACACACCATTATGAACACATGAAGAACCCTAGCATGCTCCTAGGTATTTCGAAATTTAGATAGTAGAAGGGATTACATACCTCTTGTTGTTATATTGTAATAACAACTCAAATCTTCAATCTTCTTGTCTTTGAAAGCAAGTACCACAAGTGTAGTACCTCTAATGGCTCACAAACACCAAGAGCAAATGGAGAGGCCAGAGAAAGAGAGGGAGGAGGCTACAAAATTCGGCCTTAGGGTTCTCTTAGAAGCAAGTGGGCGAATTCTTGTAGCCTAGGGTCCTTATTTATACTGTGAGCAACTAGGGTTTCCTCCAAAACCCTAATGGACAGCTTAGACATTAAGCAGCCCATGGAACCTTCTGGAATAAGGCCATAGACGAAATATGATGGGCTCCCATCATTAATTTCGTTCATCCCTTTGTCCCATTGGGTTTCCCAGCCCAAAATCCAACTATCACACATTTGACAGTTTAAGTCCATTTATTCAATTAATTTCTTTTAGTCACCAAATTAATTTTTAATTAATTTATGACTAATATTAATTAAATAATATGATTTCTCTTTTAATATATTATTCTTATAATATATTAATAAATCATAATAACCTCTTTCTCTATTATTTCTCCAGTCAAGTTGCTTTGGTGAAGACAACCCAAAAGGACCATGCACAATCGGGTCAAGTACTTACCAAATATGGTTACAGGCTTAGACACTAATCCAACAATATATGATAGGTTTTATAGGTTACAAAAAAAATATGTAGCGAAAAAACTTAACCCTAAGTTCACATGCTACCTATTGGATCTAAGTTTTATCTATTGATTGCAACAAACAATTGAACATTAAGAACCTTATGAATACCCTACTATAATTGAAATTCATAAATGGTTTTAGGGTTTACATACATTTTGATTGTTGTAGTAAATAATCAAACACTTCCTTGTTGAACAAGCTTCAGAAAGCAAGCACCGGAAATCTCGTGCCTCTAATGGTTGTACCCAAACCCTAACAATAGAAGACTTGAGAGGAAAGATGAAAGGGAATGTAAATTTTCAGCTCTAAAGTGAGTAAGGAGTCTTGGATAAGGTAGATAACCCTTATCCCCTTTCTTGCTCTTTAAGGCTCCCAAGAAGCCCTAGGAACCTCCAAAACCGTCCCCTTCATGTGGGAAGGTTTTAGAATCCTTCAATGCTTAACTTTTGAATATTATCACATCTAGTCCTTATACTTTTAATTAATCCAAAAAATCCAAAAAATTAATTTCAATTAATTTCTGATTAGTTATTAGTTAAATAATACTATTTCTAATTCATATATTATTTTCATAATATATTAATAAATTATTTATTGCTATTTATTAATCTTATAATAAACTAATAAATCAAACTTTCTCTCCAAAAAATCATTATGTCAAATACTTGGTCTGAGAGCAGCCCAAAGACTACTTTTAAACGTATTATCATCATTTAAAGTGGTCGTGGTAGTTTTTTTTTTCCTTTCTCGTAAACTTTTGACCCTAAATGTTCTACTAAAATCATTGAATTTTTTATCTTAACAATTAATCCTCCTTAATAAATGAAGGTTTTTTTTGCCACATGTCATATTCTCTTTCATTTTGATACTTGTCATTTTGTGAGAATTTTAGAAATTTTATTTTACACTTGTCATTTTTTAGGGATTTCCGATTTCTTAAAATAAAATTCCATAAAATTGTAATGGTTCTATAAAGAAATAAAATTATCCTATTAATTGGGTAATAAATTCTCATAAATACTTCAAACGATTTAATTTCTTTTGCAAATTTTTAGAAGATTACATTTTGTTATGTAAAATATTACATTATAAAATATTTCATATTTATATATTGATATTAAATTTTTATTTTTAATAAAACCGTGTAATACACGGGTCTCACATCTGGTCTATATAAGAAGTCATAGCATATTAAAAGTAGTGGACATACAAAAAATTATTAAATTTGGATAAATTTTATTAAACAGAATTAATATATAATATTTAAACCGTAGTAATTTTCCAGAAAAATTATTTGATGAATGTTTGGAATTTGATATATATAATTATTGGATTAGGTAAAGAATGCATATACCAAATTGTGAATCTTGGGCGGCAAAGTCGAAATGAATAGAGTGGGCACTCCGATCATCTCTTCCGTGGACAGAGTCAACCCCATCATCCAAACATTGGCGAAATACAAATGTCAACAACCAACAACATCCAAAATGGTGAAGTTTCGATTGATCGTTTTGATCTTCATCTGGGTTCGGAATGCAACGAAGAAGAACCAGTAGTCTTGGGCGTCGATGGCGGCACCACATCCACCATATGTGTTTGTATGCCTCTTCTTCCTATTTCCAATTCCCACAATCATCTTCCTGATCCCCTTCCTGTTCTTGGTCGCGCCATTGCTGGTTGCTCCAATCACAACAGCGTCGGAGGTACCCCAATTTCCTTACTAATCGCACTTTTCGTGATTGTCGATCTTATGTATATGCTAATTTTTCGTCATTTTTCTTTGATTTAACTCCATTATCATACGTTCTCTCTCACTTCTGAACAATTAACTTGCCTTTCAATTCGTTAAGATTAATACGGAATTCAAACATTTTAGAGTTACTTTTCTACTTTTAGGTGTTTGATTGTCCGTTGAAAGTGGCAATTCTCAGTTTCTAGTGTCTAGGGTTTAATACTTCGTTTTTTTTTAAGTATTGAATTCCACTTGCATTTAGTTAGAATGCAACACCATAAGCAACAAACATACTTCATTTATGGAATTTAACATTGTTTTTTCCTGTGTTATCTGCATTCACTGTTACAGAGACCTTAGCCCGAGATACATTGGGACAGGTGATGATGGAAGCCCTTTCAACCTCAGGCTCAAAGAAATCCGCTGTTCAAGCTGTTTGTTTAGGCGTATCAGGTGTCAATCATCCAAATGATCAAGAAAGGATACTAAATTGGCTGAGGTTTGAATGATCTTTAGTTCCTTGACACTCTTAATCCACTAAATCCATCTCTTGTTTTCTTTTCTTCCTCTGTATGATGCAGAGAGATATTTCCAAGGCATGTGAAGCTTTATGTTCAGAATGATGCAGTAGCAGCTCTTGCAAGTGGATCCATGGGGAAACTTCATGGATGTGTTTTGATTGCAGGAACAGGGAGTATTGCTTATGGCTTTTCTGAAGATGGGAAGGAGGCTCGGGCAGCTGGTGGTGGGCCCGTTTTGGGTGATTGGGGCAGGTAATCTTCTGTGTTTCTTCTCTTTCATATCTGATTTGAATCTTTCAATATTTCATGTTGTGATGAATGAGAGTTGTTATGTACAGTGGTTATGGAATTGCTGCTCAAGCATTGACATCTGTTATTAGAGCTCATGATGGCAGAGGTCCTCACACAATGCTTACAGATTCTATCTTGAAATCACTCAACCTTTCTTCTCCAGATGAACTCATTGGGTATATCTCACTCATGAAAACCTTGTAACTAGTTTTTCAAACCATTAAATTATATTTTTTTTTCTTCTAGCTAACATTTCTTACAAAGATCACAAAGTAAATCAATCATATCAATCTCGAGTATTAAATCATAATTCATTATCTTTTCACTCGAGTATCCATCTTGGCCCATAATACTCATATGACTGTCTGTCCACAGTCTACCGTCTATTGTCTACTGTCAGCGGGGAGAAAGTTAAAGATTTGACAACGCTTTCTTGGCCCATAATACTCATATGACAGTCTGCCATTGTCACTGTCACTGTCACTGTCACTGTCAACTGTCTACTGTCCTCTGTCTGTGTCACTATCGAAGTCTATCACTGTCTGCTGTCACTGTCAGTGGGGAAAAAGATAAAGATGAGACAAGGCTTTCTTGGCCCATAATACTCATATGACAGTCTGTCACTGTCTGTGTCAATGTTAATGTCAACTGTCCACTGTCTATGTCACTGTCTACTGTTTGCTGTCACTGTCAGTGGGGAAAAAGATAAAGATGTGACAAGGCTTTCTTTGCCCATAATACTCATATGACACTCTGTCATTTTCTGTGTCGACTGTCAACTGTCAACTGTCAACTGTCTACTGTGATTGTGACCGGGGAAAAAGATAAAGATTTGATTGACAAGTGGTGGTTGTGTTGTGTTGTGTTGTGACAAGGTGGACCTATGCAGATCCATCTTGGGCCCGCATTGCAGCACTAGTTCCAGTAGTGGTGACATGTGCAGAAGATGGTGATGACGTGGCAAATCAGATATTAAATGATGCCGTGGAAGAATTGTCTCTAACTGTCAAAGCAGTTGTTCACAGGCTTGGTCTCTGTGGTCAAGGTATGAGTATGACTTTATTATTATTATTTTTTAAATTATTATAATAACACTCCATTCACTAAATCAATATAAAAAAAACTAATACTTCAGTGGCTAAATCAATAAAAATGGTTGTTTTTTCTGAAATGTAAAAAACCCTTTTATTTAGAAAAATTAATGATTGGGTGCAGATGGGAGTGGTGAATTTCCAGTTGTGTTAGTTGGTGGGGTCCTCATACCTAACAAAAATTGGGATATCGGTCAAAAGGTTGTTGACCGTCTTATCAAGACCTACCCTGGTGCTTTCCCTGTTCTACCAAAGGTCACTTCTCTTCTCTATTTCATTTTGTGTCACAAGGGCAAAACCGTCATTTCACTTGTTATAGGAAGCTCTTATTCTCGTAGCTACAACTGTTGCTTCCTTGCATCACATGTCAAGAAATTCGACTTAATGTCATAACTCATAAGTCATGTTTGGTCAAATAAGGGATACTTGATGTAGGGGCATTTACGTCTTTTCACAAAGACTAGTATTTAGTTCAATGCGTGTCAAACACAATATAACTTGTTATGTTCTCTTATGCAGGTAGAACCTGCAGTTGGGGCGGCTTTACTGGGGTGCAATTTCTACATGAAGGAAAAGGAGAGGAATGGGGTTATATGATCACAATATTTTAACGAGTTTATTAAATTTTAATTGAATTAAAGTATACATATATACACATCTTAAACCACCTCATTGTTGTATCTATTATGTGGTAATGGTACCTTTTTTTTTGTATAGTATTTGATGACCAAATTTGCGTAGATTTTGTTGTTATTTTTTATGCTTATATACTACTGTTAATTGATATTAGTTCCGATTGTTGTCTCTTTACTTCTCCATCATCGTGCTTGTGAAAAAAAATGTTTTTTTAAGGATAAGTTTTATGGAAATGTAGTTGAATGAAGCCACATACACAATAACTTCATCACTATTGCACAATGAAACAAGAGAGATTTTGCATGTTCGCCAAACCTTAGTACATCTCCCAACAATATAGCTAACAAATTTGGTGCCATGGCTTAGCTAACAAATGGGATGTTTTAGTAAATCATAAGGAGATCATAACATATGTTTTAACATCTAAACATATGTTGAAACATATGGTGTGATCTCCTTGTGATTTACTAAAACATCCATGAATTCATGAGTTGTTTTTTATTTGTTTAGTGAGCAAGATAATGCCAATAAGCAACTTAAAATTATCCATGAATGAAAAGGACTAATCTATCATGTATAAAAAACAACTCATGAGTTCATCCGAGAAATTCTCTAAAATAGTGAAAAACTCCTTTTATTTATTTATTTTTTCATTTTCTCATGTCAAAGCTACAATATCAAACTTTCTTTTGTTGGTTTTTGAAGATTTCAAACACAAAAACTTGTTTTTTATGAAATCGTAGAAAAATGTTTTTTTTTTCTTCACAAAAAACAAACTTGTTTTGGTTGACTCATCAACATTTCTATGATGACATCATCATTTTGCAGATGTGAAATTGATGATTATTTTGTAATTAGACTATTTTTTCCTATTTCTTGGGGAGTAATTAGATTACTTTATTTGTTTTTTTAGTAACAAAAATGTTGATATTATCATTTTAGTTAATAGCTAAGAAACCCCATAAATTAATGAAATACAAAATTGTAAAAATGGTTGATGTGGTTGTCAAAAAACTGTGATTTTGGTCCAAAAACATTTGGTGGTTCATCAGTGGTCCAATTTTGAATATTTTTAGTGATACACTTAAGGTTAGTTTTATGTTTCCTCTTACCATCATCGCCGCAACCAAACTCGACTTTTAGTCCACCATTATCGAGTACTCATTCAGCGTAATCCTTAGGTTCTAGTTTAGGGAAAATTGATTTACCCTTCATTACCAACTACACATCAGGAGATGATGAAGTCTGAAGACTATGAGTTTTAGGATCAGAGAAGATGACTCAAGAAGGGATTGGGGTTGGATTTATTTTTCGTTTTTTTTTTAAGTTAAAAAAATATAAAAATAAATAAAGGAAATTTAAAATAACTATTTTAGAGATATATTCGTCATTTTATGTTGGATATGGACCAGAAACCATAAAAAAATATCAATAAAATAGACAAAAACCACACAAAATATCCAAAATTAAACTCTTTATATACAATTTTTTTTTTTTTTTTTTTAAACCACGTATTTTTTAGGTCAACAAAAACCATTTTTGCAATTTTGTGTTAATGAAAATTAAATCTTCTCCCGATTAGTCTTATCTTTTAAATTTTTTTTCTAAAAAATACCACTCGCTTTCCTTTCACTTCCCCAAAACTCGAGAATGGTATTCCCGCTAAACTAATGCTCCTTATCTTCGGTTTCGAGTGACAGACAGAAGGTGAAGATCATCCAGCATTCGTCCTTGGTGAAGAAATGATTTCCCTGCATCAAGGCTTATTCCGATCAATTCAAACAACAATTTCCGAGCCTCGTCTCCACCGATTTCAAGCACATCTCGTTTTTTTGCTTCCACGTTTCAAGCTCCTCTCTCTGCGTCGTCAACTTCCTCCAAAATCTTCAGGTTTTGATTTACTTCTTCCTTATTCTTCAATGGTTTCGTATTCTATTCTAACTTCGATTTCATTTGCTTAATCGTATGCCATTTTGTTTCAGTTTTGGCAAAACTTAACGAAGAGGAGGAAGCACATGGTGTTTATGAAGTTGGGCGAGGAAATAAAGCTTTGAAGCTAAAGGTTGAGCAGATTGGGATAAATTTCGATTCCTGTACCCCTGGCCAATACACTCTCCTAATTTGTCCACTGGTATGAATATCTTGATTTGTTAGGTTTTTTTTTTTTTTCTCAATTACTTTGATATTTTACATCATACCTCGAAACCTTTTGGTTTTGAAGTTAAATATATGCATCAATTTTGAGGAAAATATGGAGTGGGATGAGACATGTTTATTAATCCCAAAAATGGTGACTTTGATTTGAACTTTGAAGATGCTATAAGTAACCCTAATGTTGAAGAGATGAAGTAATAGTTATCGAATTTGTTTGCAAATTTTTGCTTAATTAATTTAACCTTCTGTTGAAACAGTGCAAAGGTGGGCAATCCAAAGGGAGGACTCTTTCATTCCATAAAAACCAAAATGAGTAACTTCTTATGTCTTTAGTTCATTTAAAGTTGTTCTTGACTTCTTTCTTCATTTAATTCAAAAAGAATCTGAGATTATTTGATTCCATGATTATATATCCACTCAAACTTCATGAATAACTTATTTTTCCTCTTTGTATTCAGGAAAGTTGCAATATGGAGATGCTTTAATTTTGAATGTGGATACTCTGGTCATGTATGTACACTTGAATTATGTTTCTCCACTTTTTTATTAAATTATTTGTCATGTAATTAATCCTATTGCAGGTTTTGGCAGATGTGGGTCCTATACAAGAAGAAGTCAACAAAGTCAATGTTCCCAAAAAACCAAGTGAAGAGACCTTGCGTTTAGAGCCACTTGGTGTTGAGGTACTTCACAATAATTTATAATTTGTTCTCTCTCTCACACACACACACAATGATTTTTTTTTTTTTTATATGTTTCAGTTGATTGAATACTTTGCTACACGAAAAATATCAGAAGAGATTTTGAAGAAAAATGCTGTTATGCAAATGATTGATGATAAGGTATAATACTATAATATAAGTATGTTGAATTCCCTTAAATTTACTACATTTTCTGAAGAACATTTCTTTATTTGTATAAACAGAATGTGATAGCTTATACATATAGAAGAAATGGTGAACTTGTCAACTGTAAATTTCGCAGCATAACAAGCAGAAAGTTTTGGCAGGTTGGTTTTAAACTTTTAATTAATAAATATATATATTCAATATCATTATCATTTTCTTTTTATATATAAAAATATATGAATAATGAGGTTTTGTTATAAAATTCAGGCGAAGCATGGAGAAAGGATATTGTATGGACTTGATGGCATAAAGGAAGGACATGACATTGTTATAGTAATAATAATTTTTTTAATAAATTTTAGATCTATTACTTTAATAGTTTAATGTATATATAATGTAATATATGTGTGATGAATAATGAATATAATTTAATGGTGATAGTAGGTTGAAGGTGAAATTGATAAGCTTTCAATGGAAGAAGCTGGAATTATAAATTGTGTTAGTGTTCCTGATGGAGCACCACAACACGTGTCAATAAAAGCATCACCCTCTAAAAAACAGGTTTAATTTAATGCATTTATTTCTCCTTTTTTGAAATATAAATAATAACTAAATCGAAAAAGAAACAATCAAGGGTGGTATAGTAATTTCAGATTTGATTGGGACTTAAGGCAAAACAAAACCAAACTATATAGTTAAAAAAAATAAGTTAGGGACCAAACATGCAAATTACCCCAAACCACAGGGACCATTCGTGTAATTTACCGGTACCAAATTATCAGTGTATTTAAAAAAAATGAAAGAAACTTATTATAGAGATGAAATTTGGTAGATTTTTCAAAAGGAAAGTGTCGGAAAAGTCTCAAAATTTTAGGAAAAGTTTCATTTTAGTCTCAATTTTTTTTTTGAACATAAAAGTCTCGATTATTTTATTTTGGCTCAAATTAACAAAAAAATCCTTTTTTCCCTTTTAACAGGAAATGACATTATCGTGTAAAATCAAATAATTGAGACTTTTCTGTTAAAAAGAAAATTAGGACTAAAGTGAAATTTTTCCGAAAATATTAGGACTTTTCTGACAATTTCCCTTTTTCAAAATACAGAAGAAATGAAAGTAGGATGCTGCAATAAATGTATGCATAAAAGTACATTGCTATTTATTGCATTTAACCCAAAAAAGTATATTTATTTTTTAATAAAAATAAAACGACCACTCAATTAATATATTAAATTGTTTGTTAGTATTAAATCATTTGTATAATCAGGAGGCTAGATTTAAATACCTATCGGATTGCAACGGGTGTCTTGATAAGGTGTGTAATTTATTATTATTATTATTTTTAATATTCATTTATGTTAGTCAAAGTCAATGCTGATAAAAAAAATAAAAAATGAGAATTTTTATTTTTATTATATATTTATTTATTGTAGGCATCTCGAATTATATTGGCTACAGATGGTGATGGACCTGGTCAAGCCTTAGCTGAAGAGCTTTCATGTCGTCTTGGAAAACAAAGGTTTTTTTTTTTTTTTAAATAATATTAAATAAATAAATGAAAATATATTGTTATTTAATGGTGTTTGGAAAAAAACCAACTTTTTTTACAATTATTTTTCAGATGTTGGGTTGTAACTTGGCCAAAGAAAGATGAGGTCACACATTACAAGGATGCAAATGAGGTTAAAATCGTCTTTTTCTCAGTAAAGGTTAAAATCGTCTTTTTCCATAGTAATTAATTAATATGGTTTGTTACATAGGTTCTTGTGCATTTGGGGGCAGAAGCATTGAGACACATTGTGGAAAATGCCAAGTTATACGAAGAACAAAAAAATTATGCGGTTTTATAAACAAAATAATCAGCTCATTTGTTGAATATTTTGCTATTTTTGGAAAGTGAAGGTTGCTGAATGCAATTGAATTTTGAATCTAGGTAGAAAATGTAGTTGGATTATTCAGTTTATATTGCATTAAAAATTAAAAATGTTTTACTTTTGGAAAATTTATAGAAAAGTACAACGTATTTTTACCATTTTATTGATTTACTACCCAATAGATTGTTGATCCAAATTGAAAATAAATATATTAAGAACAAAAGAACGAAATTATAAAAATGATTTAAGAAAATGGAAAATATAACATTGTGGTGAAAATCACAATCACAAATCCAAATATAATTATGCAAAAACCCTATGAAAATCTCAAACTACATGCAACATTTTCTAGATTTTACATGATAACAAAGATGAAACAAATTTCAATCACGTGCACACTTGTTGTCATAATGCAAATTAAGCCTTCGCTTTTCCAGCTTGAAGAGATTGAATCCTTTGCTGTAACTTATAAATCTGTAAAAAGTAAAAAAGTAAAAAACTTTTTGTCAATTCTTAGATAACTATTGTGATATTATTTATGAGCTTCATCATCTAAATTATAAAAACTCATGAGGTAATGGTGATAAATTTGTAACTCCATTTTGTAAAGCTTTTTTTCTATGCCACATCACATTTTCACTAACTTTATTTAACCACTTTTACAAGGTTTTCTTAGAAATTTACTAATTTACCACCATCTTTGTGAAATGTTTTATAAAGGCCCTTATCTAATTTGTTGTTTTTATGCACATTTAACAGTTTTTCTACATACAATCACCAACAATATCTCTTTTTATAGACATCAAATGCCACAAACAAAACTGAAAAAATATATAACAAGATGAAGAGAGAAAAGGTCACTAACAGCTTCTTTCTTGCTATTTTGCTTTTCCTCCATATCCTGAAGAGTTGAATCCAAACGTTTCCTGTTTTCAAGAATCATGTAGAAATGTCATATTTGAGGCTATGATATGAGCTTAAGAAGGACAAGACTTATTCTAGTAAGCTATATATGATATGAGTGTTTCTTTTTGACTTAATAATGACTTAATAGGGAAATTAGTTATACAAACATATATATAATAGCTTAGAATGATATTTAAACAGAGAGTAAACTTACAATTCAGCTGAAATATATTCAATCCTCTTGCGAACATTTGCATTTGCTTCAGCAAGATCCTGCTTTACAAGCACTGGTCCGATTAATTTGTACACATTTGCATCCTCATTCAACAAATCCAATTCCTATAAACAAAAAAGAGTTCCATTAAATCTGAATACAGCTATCAAACAAGATTATTACTTTCACAAATCACAGTGATAAAATGATAGTAAAATGAAGCTTCAGATATCTAAAGCTACTCTTTTTTCACCCAAAAAGTCCATATTCCGATTCTTGATCTCAACATGGCATCGCAATAGAGTCAATTGCTAAAACTAAAATAGATCCTTAGAAAAGAAAGGAAACCAGTTTTTGAAAAAAAGTAAAGGGGAATAATGGGAAAGAGGGGGACCTTGAGGACAAGTTCATTTTCACCAAGCTGGATGGTGTACTTCTTTCTAACTTGGTGGTTCTTCGATATATCTGTAGGATGTAGACAAACCAAAAATCAAAATATTATGATTCATTCAGTAATAGATGTTAGGTTGATGAATCGCAGGAGATGATAGAGTCATGACTTGCCCTTTTGGATTTTGCTGAGATCATTGGCTTTCCCCTCCAACTCTTTCTGTAGTTCTCGCGCGGCAGTCGATGACGAAGCCATTAGTGAGTCTAACTCGGAGTGTTGTAAGCTTGGAGACGAGGATAGATGGGGGAAGGAGGAGAAGACTGAAGAGGCGTGAAAGACCTGGGTTTAATTTTAATGGAGGAATTGGGCATCATGATTCATGGCCATGGCGAACTCGCTAAAACGGATCGGCTGCATTGATGATGGGCCTGGACAGGCAATGGGTTTAATGGGCTAAATACAGAAAAATATCAACGCATATCTATTTGACTATTCATTTGTGTATTACACAATTACATAACTACAATGTACATTTAATTTTCTTTTTTATGATGTTATAGTATTGGTATTTTTTTTTTAAAAATATATTTGATTATACTATAATATTTTTTTTAAATATTATAAATACATTATAATAATAAGAACAACATAGAAAATAAAAGACGGCCAACAAATGATGAATCAGCCAAACCGATGTACGATCAGAGGTCAAACAAAGTGGTCTTTTGAACACACATGGTATGACTTATTGTATGTTGGTCGATTATATGGATATAACCAAAGAGCCTATAAGTTCGGTCAAGGTCGATGAGACGGCCGGTCAATTATTGTCAAGTGGGCATGTTTGGCTATGTCTCTTGAGTAGAAATATGTGATTTTTATGTTGTTTTTCGGGTTTTCTTTAGTTGGTCTTTTTTTCTTGTTACATAGGAATCATATTATATAAATAGGTTAAGTTGTCTTTAAATTATTGAGAGTGGATTTATGAGTTTGAAAACATTTATAAGAATTAGAGATTAAATTTTTAAAGAATAAAAATTTTCTTTTGTATGTTCTTGAGAATGCACCTCTTCGTTCATGGTCATTTTTGTTCCTTCATAGCTTTTACATCAGTTGGTATCATAACTTAATTGAGATGATAAGTTGTAGAAGACCTTGTAGGTCATGCAAGACCCACGTCATCGTGAACTCTAATCATATATGAGATGTGACACAATTTACATCAATTATGTATCAAAGAATAATTGATGGCATTCATAGATCACGAATCAAAACCGAGAATCTATGTTGAATGCAAGTTTTATAGTCTATGAACTTGGTTGGTTGATGGGGCATTTGTGCCAGGACGCGAGCATCCACAAATTTATTTAACCGATTCATTTTTGGTTTGTAGTCCATCAACTTTTATGGTCGTCGGTGACGCATTCGTGTCCATAGGACGTGCGCTCGCTTACAAGTTCAGCGACCCAAACCATTTTTGTTTATAATTGCACCCCTCTGTGCATACAAAAGAGAGTATTGATGCTATAAGTCTGACAACGCTTCGAAACCTTCGTACTTATAAACTCACTTCTTTTTCCTCCTCCAACCTATGTGGGTGCTTAAACCCAATAAACCACATTATCCGATTCATCCGACCACTTCACTTTAATGTTTAACTAGAAAGGTTACCCCGTTACGCTGGGGCCAGAAGCTTTCAATGTTGTTTCCGAATTGATAAATATGACAGACATAGAAAGTGCAAGGATGAAAAGTCCGGGCTTTGCCCCAGACAAAAAATGTAAAAGTTTTGACTGCAAGGACCAAAAGTGTGAAAATGGCTAAAGAATTAAAGGGGTAGGAATTAGCAACTTTTTAGAAAAGGGATCAAAGTTGTCAAACCGTTAAAGTTTTGTGGCCAAACTTTTAAATATTAAAAGGTTCCAAAAAAGTGTAAAAATATTGATTGCAAGGATCAAAAGTGTCAAAATGGGTAAACAATAATGACCAAAGTTGCCAAAAAACATCCAAATTTGGTATTCCTAACTTCCAACAATAATACAGGGACCAATTCTACCAAAAAAATGGGAAGTTGAATGGAACACAAACAAAAGGACATGAATAAATTAATTAAAGAAGTACATGGACCGGATATGTAAATCATGAGACCAAACTTGGACAAAGTATCCCAAGTTTACTATTCCTTTCTTCCACAACTTTAATATATATATATATATATATATATATATATATATATATATATATAATAATTCTCCATTCATACTAAGTCTCGTTTTATTTAAAAAAAATAATTTTCAACTCCTACGTTAGGATAATTCGAACCAACAAATTTTCTATACTACATTCGATGCCTAGCTTAATTTCTTAGTTGTGAAGTTGAGTTGTCTCATGTTATTTCTCTATTATTATATTTAATATTACCATTATAAGAAAAACTTACGGAAAATGAACGACACAACACCATACACAAAAAATGGATTTGACATCGACATCGGCCATAGATGTCAAATTCAGCGCCGTTAACTGTGACGGATCTAGGGGTTCCAGACAGCTACTCGATTTCAACTTATAAGTGTAAAAAAATGTAATTTTTTTTGTATTAAAGTGTACCTACTAAAAAAAATACGTCCAACAACTGGTTTATATTAAGTGAAAAATATAATTGATATCATTACTGTGTTCACCCCTGACACCACCGAATATGGTTGTGTATAGAAACTCCCTTTTTGATTGAAAAAACTAATGATAAAACAATATTGAGAAATTATAGAACAACATTTCCAAGAAATACACAATTATTAAAAAATTGTCATTTCTTGAACTACATAGCTCCATTTTGGTATTTTTGTCCTATGATCCAAAATGATAAAGGAATATTCCGAGAGGCATTCTGATATTAAAACAAAAGTAGAACTCAGACAACAGCGACATTCCAAATCCAAAAGGGCAGTTCTCCTCCCTCTCCCCTACCTTCGTCACGCGATAAAAGCGTATATGTATCTATGTCTATGTCCTTTTGCGAAAGAAATCAAACTTATTAATCCCTAATAACCACTCCACTTCAGATTCCTTCATATTTATCTCTGCTTCTCCATGTATTTCTCCTTCAAATCTTCACACGTTTTCTCAGATCACAGGTACGATCATTTATTGATTCGGGTCGATTGACTTCAAAACTTTTCAAATTAGGAGTGGTTTTTTAAAATTTTGGTGAAGTCAAATGACCAAGTGCGTGTTTATGTTTTTGATTATCTGTAAATCAAATAGGATTTTGGGACTCAATTGATCAACATGGATGTAGATGCAGGAGCTACGTCAGCAGTTGACACTGATAATCAGCAAACGCCCGTTCTTCGTGGCCGGTCTAAAGGTAATTCCTTTTGTATCATTTGATCCCCTTTCTTCTCGAGAGAGAAAATCGCATTTGATGCCAAATGGGTTATTTTCGACTTCTTAAATTTGTTTAGTTTTTGAAAGGGTCAAGAGATAAAAGTTTGTAATCGAAATGATTTCTGTACTAATCTAGATTTCACTTGAAATTGGTTGCTGTAATTCAGAGTTCTTACACTAAAATGTATTGTAAGCATAAATTGTGAAAAATCTGATTTTCGTTAGTTCTCGTTATGATTGTTCTTGAATCTTGCAAGTTAGCCTTCGTTTTAGGGTTTCTCTTTTTTCAGCAATTTTGTCCTCATTATGTGATTTTCAAGCTTCATCTTTTCATATCGTAAGCTTGCATGTTTAGGTGATTAGATGCAACCCCAACTCCTTTATATGATATAATACAAGGTTTACATAGCATTATGTAAAATAAAAGTTTCTGAGATTTTTTTTTTGGATAAAAGAGAATGCTTTTTTGCAGCTATACATCAGTTCACATTCTGTTCATTATCTTTGTTGTCAATAAATTTAACACCTTTTTTTTTCTTAAATGGTTTGACTTCATAAATATATCATATAATTGTTTTTCACTTGTGCTTTTTTGCAGCTATACATCAGTTCACACAACAAACTCTCCCAGCTTGTAAACCTGTTCTAACACCAGCATGGGTGAGTGCATAAACACACTTCACATCTATTTATAAATTACTTAAAAGGGTTAATTAAATGCACATTTATGCAACATTGTTTCACATTTTTCCTAATTCATGCAACAAAATGGTTTCATATACAAAATTTCAGGACCAAAAGATGCAACACTTTACAGATAACCTGTTTTTTGGTTGAAACATGGTTGCATAAGTTGGTAAAAAGATGAATCATTGCTGTATAATTGGTAAAAAAATGAAACATTGTTGCATGTTTTTGGTTCTAAAATGAAAAAATGGTTGTATATTCTTTTCTAAAAAACCACTTTGTTGCATATATGCACATTTAATCCTTACTTATAAATTTAATCTTGTTTTTTTTACAGGTCATTGCAACATTCTTTATGATGGGTGTACTTTTTATCCCTGTTGGATTAATTTCTCTTCATGCTTCACAAAGTGTAATGTTCAATTCCCACTTTTCTCATAAATGATTTAGCAGTTTATCTTGTTTTTGAATTTGCAATTCTTTCTACTTATTAGTTCTCTTATCATTAAGTCTTTCAAAGTGGACTTAAAATCTTAAATGATATTTTGTATTTTAGGTTCATGAAATTGTAGACAGATATGATGTTGATTGTGTACCCGATAATTTCAAGAACAACAAGATAGCTTATATCAAGAATTCATCAGTTTCAAAAAGTTGTCATAGGTATCTAAAGGTATTACTAATGTCTAATAGTCTAATACCTTATTTTATTTTTAAGGGTTAATCTCAAAAAAGACCTTATATAATTTGTGTTTTTCCCGGATTAAACCTCAAATTTATTTTTTGCCTGAAAAAGACCTTGTATTTTTTCATTTTCCCGAAAAAGCCCTCATCTTAAAAAACCCCAACCTTCTAAATGCTTCCAAATAAACCCTCAACTTTTTTTAGGTTTTCTTGAAAAAACCCTCATATTTTACAATTTTTTTTGACAAAAAATGACTAAAAGGGCCAGATCGGAAAAAATGAAAAAAATACAAGGTCTTTTTTAGGCAAAAAATAAATTTGAGGTTTTAATCTGGAAAAAACACAAAAGTGTAAGGTCTTTTTTGAGATTAACCATGTTTTTAATTGACTACTTTTTGATTATTACTTTTGTACAAAATCCATACCTCATTATTCACTTAAATGCATTTTGAATTTCAATATAGGCACACAAACATATGAAAGCTCCAATTTACATCTATTATCAACTTGATAACTTTTACCAAAATCACAGAAGGTTAGTACTTTTATTTATTTAGGCTATGTTTGGTGCACTAGTTGAAAAGCTAGCTGATAGCTGAAAAACTAGCTGATAGCTGAAAAGCTAGCTGATACAATAACATAAAAGGGCATTTAAAAGAATGTATTTCTATAATTAATTAAAGGGTATATTTGTAAAATTTTAAAAAAGCTCCTAAAAAGCTATACTCTAAGTAGCTTTTTAAAAAGCTAGCTTATAAGCTACTTTTTAGTTTGCCAAATAAGACAACTTAAAAAAGCTCGAAAAATAAGCTAGCTTATCAGCTAGCTGTGGTGCACAAAACACAACCTTATTTGTTAAAGCATATAAGTTTGATAGTTATTTATTTTTAAAGATTTGTGCATAATCATATTAATTAAAACATGTGTTCAATTTAGGTATGTGAAAAGTAAAAGTGATGATCAACTTCTACATGGATTAGGATACAACAAAACAAGTTCATGTGAACCTCAAGCATTCGATAATGGTCTTCCAATAGTTCCTTGTGGATTGATTGCATGGAGTTTGTTTAACGACACATTTTCATTTTCACGTGGGACAAAAAAATTGGAAATTGAAAGAAAAAATATTGCATGGAAGAGTGATAGAGAACACAAATTTGGCAACAAAGTTTATCCATTCAATTTTCAAAATGGATCATTGATTGGTGGTGGAAAGCTTGATACAACTATCCCAGTAAGTGTCCTAATTTAATATTTCTTCAAAAACAATAATTTTGATATGAAAATTTACTTTAGAGTAAATTACACGAATGGTCCCTATGGTTTGTGGCAATTTGCGTGTTTGGTCCTTAACTTCTTTTTTTAACTCGGAAGGTCCCTACTGTTTGTTTTTGTTACGCGCTTGGTCCCTGTCTTACCTAAAAAGACTATTATTTAAATAGGGAAAAATGGTGAGGTAGGTAAGGTAAGGTGAGGAGGGTGGGGTTGAGGGTGTGTTTATTTAAATAAATTAAAAAATCAAGGGAAAAATAGTCTTTTTAGGTAAGATAGGGACCAAACGCGTAACAAAAACAAACAGTAGGGACCTTCCGAGTTAAAAAATAAGTTAGGGACCAAGCACGCAAATTACCCCAAACCATAGGGACCATTCATGTAATTTACTCTTTACTTTATTATTTTGTTCTTTATCGATAATAGCAATAAACTTACCTTTTTTGTTGTCTCTATGAATATTGTATTTTATTTATTATTATTACATGTTGCTATTATTGGTAAAGAAATGTAAGTTCATTGCTATTGTTGAGTAATGAATTGTAAGTAAGTTGCTTTTATGTGTAAAGAAAACTCAGAAAAGGGTTAATCTCATAAAAGACCTTATATTTTGTGTTTTTTTTTTCTTTTCTGGATTAAATTTCAACTTTATTTTTTTCATGAAAAGGACCTTGCATTTTTTTTTCCGATTTGGCCCTTTTAATCATTTTTCCCCAAAAAAGGTTGTAAAATGTGAGGGTTTTAAAAAAGTTGAGGATTTTATTGGAAACATTTAGAAGTTTGAGGGTTTTTTTTTTTTTTTTTTTTTTTTTTTTTTGGAAAAAAGACAGTTGAGTGTTTTTTCGGAAAAAATGAAAAAATATAAGGTCTTTTTCATGAAAAAAAATAAAGATGAGGTTTAATCCGGAAAAAACACAAAACATAAGGTTTTTTTATGAGATTAACCCTAAAGAAAATGTAAGGATGTTGCTATTATTGGTAAACTAGTTGTGAGACATGTGTACTACACAGATTTATTTAAAAAAAAATTAAATATTAAGGTCTAAACATTTAGGAAGCTTGAATTTATAAGGAAAGTGAGAAAAATATTGAATTACTGAAATTGAAGTGCTTATTTCTCTTTTAAATTTTAACAAACAATTTAAATAAATAAACAAAGAACATAATTGGGCTTCAGTTTAGGAATTTTGAAATTAGAAGGAAAGTTGCATTAATGAAATTGATATCCGTTTATTATTACATTTAAATACCATGTGGAAATTAATAAAATGGAAAAAAAGCCATAAAATGACATGTGGAAAAAATTTAATTTAAAATAACTATAAAATAACATGTGGCAAAATGAATGAGAGTGTCACATTTTTTAAAATTCATTTTTTATTTTGTTCAAAAACTAATTCCTTATATATTTCTTGTGCTTTTTTCTTAATCTTAAAATCATTAAGCTAAGTGATCAAGAGGATCTTATTGTGTGGATGCGAACTGCTGCTTTTCCAAGCTTCCGGAAGCTTTATGGAAGAATCGAAGAGGATCTAGAAGAAGATGACATCATCATAGTACACCTCAAAAACAACTATAATACTTATAGTTTTGGTGGAACAAAAACTCTTGTCCTTTCAACATCAAGTTGGTTAGGTGGAAAGAATAGTTTTCTAGGGGTGGCTTATATTTTTGTTGGCTCTTCTTCCATACTCATTGCCTTCATCTTCTTGTTGCTTCATGTAAAAAACCCAAGGTAAATTTACCTTTTTGACCTTTATGACTTAATCTTGATATCTATACATGGCTTAATGTGTTAAGATTGATTAGTATTGTGAAATTTTATTTTTGGGAATGTAAGGGTAAAATGGTCATTTAGTCTTGTTCAGACGGTTTATTTGGTCTAGAAAAGAAACAAGTTAATCTTGATAGCTATACATGTCTTAATGTATTAAGATTGATCAATATTGTGATTTCTTTTTGGAATGTAAGGGTCAAATGGTAATTTAGTCTCATTCAGACAGTTTATTCTGTTTATTTTGTCTAGAAAAGAAACAACTTAATCTTGATAGCTATACATGGCTTAATGTATTAAGATTGATCAATATAGTGAAAATTGTTTTTAGGAATGCAAGGGTAAAATGGTCATTTAGTCTCATTTAGACGGTTTATTGATAGCTATAAGTGGCTTAATGGATTAAGATTGATGAATATTGTGAAATTTGTAAGGGTAAAATGGTAATTTAGTCTCATTCAGACGGTTTATTAGGTCTAGAAAAGAAACAACTTAATCTTGATAGCTATACATGGCTTAATGTATTAAGATTGATGAATATTGTGAAATTTGTAAGGGTAAAATGGTCATTTAGTCTCATTCAGACGGTTTATTCGGTCTAGAAAGAAACAACTTAGTCTTGATAGTTATACATGGCTTAATGTATTAAGATTGATGAATATTGTTAATTTTATGTTTTGGAATGTAAGGGTAAAATGGTAATTTAGTCTTGTTCAGACGGTGTAGAAAAGAAACAGATGTTATGTATGTAATACTTTATCTAGACAAACATTATTATCCGTAGAGGGCATAATGGGAAAGAAAAAGAAACAATCCTTTACTATATTTTGAGGACTTTTTAATTGATTAAATTTATTATTATTATTATTTTGTTTCTTTTTGACAGACCATATGGGGACACGATGTATGTTAGTGGTGGCAGGAAGGATATTTCTAGTTAAGAGTTAGTTTGCATATTTTAAAAAAGGTATTTAATTAATTACTTATAAGAAACCCTTTACTCAAATTTTTTACATTTTTAGTGTCCTTTTTGTAATCTTTTTATATATGTCACACTTGAATTAGTAACTGATGATGTGACTTGATATTAATTCAACAGATGATGACAGTTTTTACAAATTGCTGCTTGTCTCGGATGATACATCTGAGTTGCTGCATGTAATTATAAAATTTTTTCTCCAAAGAGACTTTTGTTTCTCCTATGTAAAGAGATTTGCTAATGCCACCTAGGCAGCCACATATACCAATGGGCCCCACATGAAGGAATTAAAACGTTTCTCCATTTATCGTGGTGGTATCTTTTGTTATCTTCTTGTTGCTAAATGTGGTATTGTTGAATACGTTGGAAGCAACATGTTTATGCTATGATGTTATCATTTTGCTAAGGTTATAGTAGGATTGTTTTTGCTTGTGATTAGGTCATTCTGTTTGTTACATGGGACAGACAAAACATAATACAATGATCTTGTACTGTGTTTGACATATACTAAACTAGGTTGAGTTGATAAATTAAAAAAAGTACAATTTTTTTTTTGACCCAAAAAGTGGAATAAGGTGGGACAAAGACCTATCCTCAATGCCTTTATCATCCTTATCATTAAAAACAACTTTAGTAAACTTGTCTACTCATATCAACTTCTATTTAAAATATACAATCTAAATGATATCTTAAAGAAAGCATTGTGTAAACGATGTAATGTCCAAAATAGAGGTGCATAAATCCGATAAACAACTGATTTTTTTTTTTTTTTTTTTTTTTTTTTTTTTGCATTACACAAACAGGGACGAAAATTTTAAACATATTTTAGAAGAAAGATAACTTTTGTTTAAAAAAAGGGGAAGGAAATACAGGACAAACACTAAGAAAGAGTTCAAGGGGTTGTCAGCCACATTGAATTCTAGACCTAAAAATCTTTAAACCCATCAAAATCCCACACCAAAAAACATTAAATCCATGATTTATTTTTCCACGTTTTATTTTATTTATTATTATTATTATTATTATTTTTTGTAATTGTTAGACAAATCTACCACAAATACAAGAATAACAAAGACTCACATTGAAACCTCTGTACAAATACAAGAATTCAGTCTCTACCATGGTTACTTGAATCCTCTATAAAAAACGATGCCCCATCTCCTTATACGTTATGAAACATCCTTTTTCTCGCATTGTAAGGTCGTGCTTTTTACTGATTTTTTCATTTATGTTTAAAACATTTTAACAGAAAACACAACGAAAGACTATTTGTTCATTTCAAACATATCAAAACAAACCACAACATTATGTTCGTTAAAAACCAATCAACCAAAACCATTTAACGGCAATGGAAGCAAAATACATAAGTAAATATATGAGTTTAAGTGGCATCCTTTATATCATTTCAACCGCATAACACACATATAACATTTCAACCACATTTGTAGTTATGTGTCCCATAGTGATAACAAACCCAAAGAATTACCATGTTCACTATTTGTGCGCTCCATCGGTTCAATTCCTTTAGTGAGTCATGACTTCCACCTGAAACACCAACCCCAGGAAGTCACCAACCCCAGGACTTCCCTTTTTGATACTCCAATTTGTAAAATACAAGTACTTTGCGATGTCGTCCAATCGGTACAAACAATGGCAATTCTACCGCTACACCTCTTGATGTCTACGTGATGCTTGATCTCGCTACGAACGAAGTGTAATTCCCATGAATATTCTCATTAACATAGAAAGCGTATATTTAGAAGAGATTACAAATGAGACCTTGGGCCTATACTAACGAAGGTATACACTAATGGGCTACCATAGTACATACACAAATATAATACACTATCATCCCCCAACAATTGTAGCGGTAGGGGATCAAATGTTCCGACTGTATCTAAAGTCAAGAAATTATGACGATGAAAGTCCTTTGGTGAAAATGACAGCCTACTAAGAGGTAGTTGGAACATGAAGAACACGGATATCACCAATAGCCACTTTGTCTCTATTGGATATATATGCCCAAAAATTATTATTGAGTGATATTGCTAATAATGTATGATCCTATAAGCTCACACATTTATCTCGTTGACACATTTTGTATATTTATCATGAACATGATTATTAATAAATAATATCAATTTTTGTATTTAGTTAGGGAATAATTATTATTTTAAGTGTTTTTTTCTCTTTTCCTCTCCCACTAAAAACCATAGCTTTTAGCTTCTTCTTCCTCTGTAGAGTATATATTTGTTGTGAGATGACGAACCTTAGTTAATGTCTTAATTGGGAATCGTTAGTAAATAGCGAAGGTCTTCCTGACTTCGTTATCTAATGTATTTACAAGGCACTTAAGTGGTTCGTACTTCGATGTCGAGTCCTAGTATTTTTTGATTCCGTGAGTACCCTATAAATAGGGTAAGTACTGTAGAGAGTTAGTATGACTTTTTTCACACTTGTAACTTTCTCTGTACTCATTCCGGAAGTTGGTTAGGTGGAAAGAATAGTTTTCTTGGGGTGGCTTATATTTTAGTTGGCTATTCTTCCATACTCATTGCCTTCATATTCTTGTTGCTTCATCTAAAAAACCCAAGGTAAATTTACCTTTTGACCTTTATGACTTAATCTTGATATCTATACATGGCTTAATGTATTAAGATTGATGAATATTGTGAAATTTGTAAGGGTAAAATGATCATTTAGTCTCATTTAGATGGTTTATTTGGTCTAGAAATGAAACAACTTAATCTTGATAGCTATACATAGCTTAATGTATTAAGATTGATGAATATTGTGAAATTTGTAAGGGTAAAATGGTCATTTAGTCTCATTCAGACGGGTTATTAGGTCTAGAAAAGAAACAACTTAATCTTGATTGCTATACATGGCTTAATGTATTAAGACTGATCAATATTGTGAAATTTGTTTTTAGGAATGCAAGGGTAAAATGGTCATTTAGTTTCATATTAGACGGTTTATTGATAGCTATACGTGGCTTAATGAAATTGATGAATATTGTGAAATTTATAAGGGTAAAATGGTAATTTAGTCTCATTCAGACGGTTTAGAAAGAAACAACTTAATCTTGATAGCTGTACATGGCTTAATGTGTTAAGATTGATGAATATTGTGAATTTTATAAGGGTAAAATGGTCATTTAGTCTCATTCAGACGGTTTATTCGGTCTAGAAAGAAACAACTTAATCTTGATAGTTATACATGGCTTAATGTATTAAGATTGATGAATATTGTGAATTTTATTTTTTGGAATGTAAGGGTAAAATGGCAATTTAGTCTCATTCAGACGGTGTAGAAAAGAAACAGACGTTATGTATGCAACACTTTATCTAGACAAACATTATTACCCATAGAGGGCATAATGGGAAAGAAAAAGAAACAATCCTTTACTATATTTTGAGGACTTTATAATTGATTAATTATTATTATTATTTTGACAGACCATATGGGGACACGATGTATGTTAGTGGTGGCAGGAAGGATATTTCTAGTTAAGAGTTAGTTTGCATATTTTAAAAAAGGTATTTAATTAATTACTTATAAGAAACCCTGTACTCAAATTTTTTACATTTTTAGTGTCCTTTTTGTAATCTTTTTATATATGTCACACTTGAATTAGTAACTGATGATGTGACTTGATATTAATTCAACAGATGATGACAGTTTTTACAAATTGCTGCTTGTCTCGGATGATACATCTGAGTTGCTGCATGTAATTATAAAATTTTTTCTCCAAAGAGACTTTTGTTTCTCCTATGTAAAGAGATTTGCTAATGCCACCTAGGCAGCCACATATACCAATGGGCCCCACATGAAGGAATTAAAACGTTTCTCCATTTATCGTGGTGGTATCTTTTGTTATCTTCTTGTTGCTAAATGTGGTATTGTTGAATACGTTGGAAGCAACATGTTTATGCTATGATGTCATCTTGCTAAGGTTATAATTGGATTGACTGTTTTTGCTTTTGATTAGGTCATCCTGTTGAGGGCCTGTTTGTTACATGGGACATACACAACATAATACAATGATCTTGTACTGTGTTTAACATGTAATGGACTGGGTTGAGTCGATAAATTAAAACGCTTACAATTTTTTATTTCACCCAGAAAGGTTGAATAAGGTGGTACAAAGACCTATCCTCACTGCCTTTATCATCCTTATCAATTAAAACAACTTTATTAAACTTGTCTACTCATATCAACTTCTATTTAAAATATACAATCTAAATGATATCTTAAAGAAAACATTGTGTAAACGATGTAATGTCCAAAGTAGAGGTGCATAAATCCGATAAAAAAATGATGTTTTTTTTTTCAACGAGCTCAATAATCCCAAGTACTTGGATTCGAATGATATCAACTTTATCAACTTCTATTTAAAATATACAATCTAAATGATATCAACATTATGTTTTCTAAACTCGATTCAAACACTCTTCATCCCCCACTTGGATTCGAATGCGCTTTTCCAATCCACCAAAAGTTGATGGATTCCCAATCCATCTCACAACCTTACAATTCAACTTGTCATCAACCAGGGCTATTAAGAACAAGCATTCCATTACCAGACAACCTTAACGATCCTTAAGTACTTCCCACAATACTACTCCAGATCCTTAAGCCACATCAGCTCGGGGAATAGACTATAACCCTAAATCGGAACGGATGGATCAACAATTCAACAACTCCCCTGCCGAAGGATTGATGTATTTAAATTTTGCCAAAAGATACCACTCGATCTCTACTGACACTCACAATGGATAAAATAACCCATGCGAACAACACTTTCCCCTTACTTAAGAGTAATATATTACCACTACTCAAAAAATAACTTTCCTTGACTAGCCAAACCTAACGGTTATAACTTCCAAGTCTGGATGATCATTCCGAATACCTCAACGAATTCTAAGATCCAAAGGCACTTCTCGCTGAATCCACTACAAGTCCTTGGAGTTTGTTCGGTTGATGAGGGATAGTATATCAATATCGAACAAGTACCCAATTCTTTCAACCACTTACTTGCACTTAGATCAATCCCCAAGCAACCCGCAACTGACCTTACTTCGAAGGTGTAAACTTGAAAACTACAGATCCTACCCTATGACCGAACCAATTCCTAATTACCTCAAAACCATGAGCACCCCTACACATTCTTCATTCAAACCCGGCTTTCCCACTTTACATATCCATTGAATTATCGTTGATACCACTAAAGATATGACCGGCTGCTGGTCTCCCATGCAGAACACTCATGCCTCTTTTAAACACGGCCCACGGTATGCAAAAAGGCATATGAAAACTTTTAAGATAAAATAACTATATTAATCATACATGTGCTTCCATTCTTAGATAATCAGGTCATAACATTTCACACATACCATTACATAATTATTATCATAATGATTTATGCGTGAAAGAGAAAGATACGATACATACCCGTA